CGAAGATGCTCCGATCGATCAACAACCGACACATTAATCCCCAAATCCTCCATATATTTCTGGGTGATTCTTCGTCGTTCATCGTTGTGAATTAAGAGAACAACTTTTGATCCCTCAAGCTTTGGGCTAGAGCTAAGAATATTTAACCTAGGACTCTGAATCCGGGTTGGGGTTGGAGTATTTCCAGTTTGAACCGATAGATTCTGCGGAAAAGAAGATGGAGAATCTTCTTTTTCCTCAAAATCTTCTTTATTAATATTAGAAGCAGGAGTCTGGCTTGTTAAAAGAAAAACACTGAACCGAAAACAAGTTCCTGGTTCACCCATCTCTTTATCCACGATTGCTATCTCCCCACCCATAAGACGAACCTGGTTCAAAATTTAAATACGAATTATGTCATTACTTGTCAGATACTTAAAATCAAGATCTCAATACACCAAAATTACTCTAGTTCTTACCAGTGATTGTACGATACCAAGTCCTAAACCGATGCCTCCTTGTCCGAGAGCAGTTTCTTTGACCTGAACATAGTTTTCAAAAATCGACTTTCGCTTCTCCTTTGGTATTCCTTTCCCGGTGTCATCCACCTCGAAGAAGAACTCCATCGAATCTGGATTCGTTCGTATAGCATTCACGGCTTCCAAGTCGTTACGTGCATCTTTATTCTTGTAAATCAAGCAAGATAAATATTTCAAGAATCTATTCTGCTTGTTGGATTCAACAATTGTGTTTCTTAAGGACGGCTTCCGCACCCATGCTCTTAACTTTACTTGTCCCTCTGAAGTAAATTTAATGGCGTTGCTGATTAAATTCACCAAGATCTGTTGTAATCTTCCTTTGTCACCTCTAACATTTGAAAACTTCATAACAGACCCATCTGAAGGATCCAACACAATATCAACACCTTTCTTCATTCCGGCTGGATAAAACAAGTCAACAATTTCTTCAATAAGTTGGGCTAAGTTGAACTCTTCTTCTTCAAGCTGCATCTTACCATCTTCAATTTTGCTTATGTCAAGTATGGAATTCAACAATCCTGAACAAAATAAGCAAGTAAATAATTATATTATGCTCGATTATTAATTTAAGATATTATCATATTTCGAAGTGATTAACTCACCAACTAAGTCCTTTGTACAATTATTCATTCGTTGTAAATTTGCTGCAATCTCCGAATGGGAAGAAACCTCAGCAGAGCACATCTCTATCAACCCACTAATGCAAGCTAAAGAAGTGCGAATGTCATGACTGGCGCTGGCGAAGGCGAGACTCTTATTCATACTTTTTCTCTCTGCTTGCTCAGTTGCCTCTCTTTGTTTTATAAGATTAGCGCACAAGAAGACGTCTCTCTTTGCAGCTCTTACAGTCAAGTACACAAAAGTAAAAACGGAGATTATTACTGCGCCAATCATAAGTGCCAGAAGAAGGAACGCCAGTTTGCTGTTCTTATTAACAATGCTCACTAACCCTTTTTGGGGCACTAGCAATGCATATACCTGAAATCAAAATAGGGGTTATGTATGTATGTGTGTGTATATATATATATTAAATTCATAGAAATTAAATAACTGATCAATTTTTTAGCACATACCACTGGGAGCCCTATAAGATCGATTGATGAACAATAAAGTTGATATTTTGAATCTCCAATCTTCAAAATATGTGGTTTGTATCCTCCATTGCTAGCCAAGCATGAAAAGTTTCCAACATGACTCACCAGGTCACTACCATTTGGATCCAATAAACTAAAATCGATTGAGTTGTTATTGAACGCCATACGAGCATTTGGGAGACCTCGATCAAGCACTTCTCCATCAGTAGTCGACAAGTAAAGATGTCCTCCATAGATGTTAACTCCACGCATTAAGAAATCGGTCAACGCCTTTGCTGAAAATCCTAATGACACAACTGCCGCCCCATTCAAACTTCCTGTACTTAAAACTAAAGGGTCTTTAGACTCTTTCCATGCGGTTCCTAAGGATACATATCCTTGGGATCCACTGCTCAGCGCCTTTTCAAACCAGTCTGTGTTGACTATGTCCAAGGGAAGTTGTTTTGTGGCTTCACCGTATAGATTTCCAGTGTTCAGATCTACAGGTTGGGTGTACCAAGTATAGTCTTTCTTCTCCAACTCTGAACTGGAATTTGAAGGGAAGGAAGCGTTGCAGTACATGGCGAGAGTTTCATTGTTGACATTTGTATAATAAGAGAAGAAGAAGCCGTCTGATCCAATATATGAAACCTGGACTACATGAGAAACTGTTGAAAATGCCAGATACAACACGGGGGCAATCTGCATATTTTACATCATTCATTATGAACTCTTAAAATAAGTAGTAATGAATCAGATTTCAATATAAATGATGAATGATCCATGAAAGAACTTGAACTTAAAATAACGAATTGTTAAGATGTATATGTGTATATATATGTATAGCTCAATCAAATTTCAATATAAATGATGAATGACCAATGAAAGAACCTAAACTTAAAATAATGAAATGTTAAGATGTATATATGTATATATATGTATGTGTATATATGAATATATATTATTTACTAACCTTGTCGTTAATGTCGGTGAAAGAGAGTAGATCAATGGTGTTGAGAGATGAAGTCAAAACCCTAGCCAAATTTGTAGCGGATGAATTCATTGGATGAAGCAATTTAGAAGTATTGTCAAGCTCAACTTTCAGTCCACTACCAAGTTTTTCGCCACTCAATTTCACATCGCGTTCAATCTCTTTAACAGTCCTGTACCAACAAGGGATCATACTGCTGGGAAGTAACACCACCACAAATGCCTGCAACAAAAAGTTGTGAAGGAAAACTAAGTTTAAACGACACCGTATTAAACTGAGTACACAAAAAATATATATATTTTTTCAAAGTACAGTAAATATATTTCTCACTTTTTATGTACTTTTTACTTTTTTACATTTATTTTTTTTTTTTGAAGTGCGGGGCAAAGGCCGCCCTCTACTTCTACTTTTAACTAAACGCGAACAGCCGGCATTGCAAGCAAATAGAGAGCCCCCCGCCCGTTTGAGTCGTTGCGAGCCGGAAAGCGTACCGGCAGTTTGAGTCGTGAAAGGGTCGCTTGCTTTATTTTATTATTACAATAAATAATATATATATATATAATAACATTCTATATCTATCTATAAACAATAAGAAAAGCTTTTGTTTTCTAATTGTTCATTCCTGGGATTTCAAGAATAACAATGAATGAAACAGTATATGAGAAAGGGCTCTTGTTGGACTGCTTGATAGGGCAGATGCGAAAGTTATACGATATTTTTACGTATATATACAGGTCGTTCAGTCAACAAAAGTCTACAATGGAATTTAGGGATGGAGGAGAGAAACTCAGAAATCAAAAAGTTTAATAATAAAAAATAGAGATTAACTTGTAGTCCAAATTAAGTTGAAGAAAATCAAAGATAGCTTCTCAGCATCAATGGCAGAATTACCTTGTATTGTATAATAAATTTATTCAAATAACTCTTTTCTCAAAAAAGATACAGATATTACGTATATACAGATACAAAAACAAATACAATAAATAAATAAAAAGCAGTTACCAGGAGCATGAAGACGAGCACTGGGCGTGAAGCTGCCACTGAAAATTAGGTTCATGCTGTGTTTCAATGATAATGACAAAAAAAAAAAAAAAAATTGTTAATATCTCTTGAAAAAAGAAATATAAAATACAGTATAAACATATTAGAAAATAATTAAATAATTACATTTTTTATTTTCCTTTATCGTATGATATATTGAGAGATTTTCTCCCACTTTCTATATATTTTTCTGATTAATAATTATGTAAGATTTTCTAATGTAAAAAACTGCTTATATAGGATATACAAACTGGATTTATATATTTGTTTTGAAATAGGAAATATATATGGGAAATATTGTATATATATGTGTGTGTACTCTATAATAATCCTCCTGCAAAAGAGGTAATTAAATAATAAATTCTTCTTTGAGAATTATGATGCATGCAACAAACTCTTATGTAAAGTGAACATTCACTCTTAGATATGGTAATAATTAACTTTAAAAAAATAATTAACTTAACCAAACGAATTTAAAATTAGATATATTAATCGGCCCTTTATATATTATATATATATGTATATATTGCAAGTAAAAACAATGATTAATAGAATAATATGATTATTACTGCAAATATGTATATATATATATATAGAAGAAAATTAACGGAAAATATAGGACATTATAAAGGAAGAAAGACATGAGCAAATATTTACAGAAGCCGAGAATATATGAGATTTCGAACAAGAAGATCAGTTTTCGAAGACCATGCTCCATGACTAATTTACCTATTAGGGTAAGTTCTAATTTTATTTGTATATAATTCAAATAATAATACAATGTAAATAAAAAAAAATTAATGAAAATAATTGGTTTATTATAAATCACTTTTATCTCCAATTTAAATTAGATACTTTTTAAAAAATAAAAATAAAAATAAAAACTTATTCTTTTATATTTTATATTTTTTTTACGTTACGTTTATTAAATTTAATCTTTAAAAAAATACTGAGACTCGGCATCATCATACGCATGCATGCAACCTTTACGTCGTTTAAAAGTACTATTTTAATTTTTTTTTTGAAATTTTGCATGCTTTTCTCTTTTTTTTTTATAAATTTATCATCGTAAAAATAATAAAAAGAATAACACCACTTATAAAATAACAATGTATGAAGAAATAAGAAAACAATTAAATGAAATAGATATCAAAGAATTTCAGAAGCACAATATGGTGTGATTGATGTAATTTAACTTTTTTTTTTAATTTTTTATATAATTTTTAAGTTAATCGATCATATATACAAAATTTGTCAATATACGTATGCTTTAGCAAACCCTATAATTATTTAACTTAATTCAAAGACTTAATATTATTTAGATCTATACGAAATCAACATGTAAACAAAATTCCATGAATCATACATCTCGAAATAGAAAACGTATATTAACTGGCCAAAAAAAAATCTCAAACTAAGCAAAAAAAATTATATTTTTTGTTGTAATAGTAGTAAAAAAATCCTGTTATATATATATAGAAAATAATCTCCCCATGGGATTCTTCTTAATTTTTTTCATGCATGTATATCGTCTTGTTTTTTTTTTTTTTAATATTTTGTTTTTTTTGGAAGCTTATAACGTATACAATTCATGGTAATATATTACAAATAAAATAAATTTTCAAATAGTACGATCAAACAAAATAAAATATGAGAAATATATTAAAATATAAACCCTTAAAAATTTAAAAAAATAAAAAATATAATTGAAAACAATTAAGAAAGATTAAGAGATGTGTAAATCACCGGAGAAAGAAAGTTGAAACTTAGACGACAATGATAAAGACAGGAGATATGCAGGAAAGTAAAAGTATACGTAGAGCAGG